TGTGAGTTGCGAGTTCTTGTATGATCTCAGTAGGGCGTCAATCGGCGGCCTGCCACTGCGAGTGTTAAAGGTTCGGGCCACGTACACAGCTAACGTCGTGCGCATGACCTCGTCCGGGGCATGGAAGCAGATCACAGCCGACATCCCAGATCTCAAAGTGATTTTTTTTATCAAATCTAAAAGTCGCTCCGAGGTAACAGATAATTTAAGAGATTCTTTAACATTCAAAAATAATCCGACTTTATAATTTCTGGAGTAACAGAATATTAAAGGATACTTTAACGGTAAAAAAATAACCTGAATTTATAATTTCTAAATTAACAGAATATCAAAGGGATACTTTAACGATAAAATAACTCGACTTTATAATTTCTAAAGTAACAGCACATTAAAGAAATAAATTAGCGTTTAAAAACTACCCGAGGGTAGAGTAGCCCTAATAATTAACGTCAATTAAAATCTACCAACTGCATGATATTCCAAGTCATTAACCTACCACGTAAGACTCTGTTTTATCTAGGAGTCGTACAAAGACACCATACCCATGATTGTTTTGACGCGATCGACGCCCCTTCACGCGTTACACTGGAATTCGGGACTCCTTGTCGCTGTCAAGAACATAATCCAATGCTTCGAGTACATCGCCTGTAACTTTAAGGTTAGTCTTTTCAGCAGTATCGGGGCATTGAAACAATGATAGAAATTACACATGAAATACTTATGGATTTTTAGGTCCTACTGTAGTGGATTCTTCATCAACAGCATCAACATCGTCTACATCATCATCATCATCATAATCATCATCATCATCATCATCTACATCATCATCATCATCAACACCATCTACATCATCATCATCAATATCTACATCATCATCAACACCATCTACATCATCATCACCATCATCATCAACACCATCTACATCATCATCAACATCATCATCATCTTCATCATCAACAACATCATCTACATCATCATCATCATCAACATCATCATGATCTTCATCATCAACAACATCATAATCAACATCAGCATCATCATCATCATCATTCCTGTAAACCCCTTGTAGAACACTGAGACGCAACCACACCTTTCCACACCTTGTACTCGGTTCTGCGCGATTCATCCAAGTTGGGTCCACGACATTCCGGCTGCTTCTGTTTCACTGACAACTTATCTTTTCCAAATTTTTTTTGGCCTCCATACTTTCCTCTGCTCTTGTGGATTCCAATCTAGTGCATGTCTGGTGATATCGCGAGTTGGCATAAGGTGTGTCAAAACCATCCACAGTTGGCGATTTTGAATTCCTTTGCCATTATGTCCTGCCCAGTTTTTCTAAACAGCTCGGCATTTGTAATTATTTTCAGCCCACCTAATGTTCAAAATGCGGCAGTGGGATTAGCCTTGCATAATTATTATGATTTTATCCAAACAAATATTTGACACATTTTTAATTATTATTTTTGCGCTTGCGCACATCACAGTAAACAATACAGAATATTTTATGATTTTTACTTTCTCGTATATACGTAGTATAGAGAAAGTATTGTAATCGTGCAAAAAAAAAAAAAATCGAGATTTTTACAAATCTCGACGTTTTACACCTCACTGATACGGAAAAACATAATTTTGCAATCTTGTCCGTATGTCTGTGTGTGTGTGTGTGTGTGTGTGTGTGTGTGTGTGTGTGTGTGTGTGTGTCTGTGTGTCTGTGTGTCTGTGTGTAAACACGATAACTTGAGTACCGTTACAGCTAGGTTGATGAAATTTCATATATAAGTATTATATCAAAATCGTAGATCCGTATCAACTTTTGAGCGATTTCCGACAACCGGAAGTGGTACTTTTTCTACTTTGAATTTTTCAAAAGCCTATAACTTGAGTACTATTTCAGATAGATAAATGAAATTTCACATGTAAGTAAAAGATCTAATTCTCTACCTTCTGTTAAATTTTGAGTAATTTCCGTTGACCGGAAGTACTAATTTACGCTACTTCCGATTTCTCAAAAAACTAATGTAAATTTTTAAAGTACTAATAATATTGCGCACTATTATGCACATTTTGTTTCGGCGTTTGTTTGGTGCGCAATGTTTTTTTCTATGAGATTCTATTCTATTTTTACAAGCTTTTATTTAACTCACTTCCTCTGTCGTCAGTCCAGACGGAAACGCAGGAGTGAAAATTCGGACAGTTCTACTTGACCGATACGATTCACAGTTGGCACGTGGGTCAAGACATGAAGACAATGCAATCTGAAACTAAATTTGACTTAATTGGATGCCTAATTAATTTTTTATGAATTAATAAAAATTTGGACCGAATTAGTAGGCATGTCTAGCCAACCACACCACACGCGTCATCACCTTCAATAGCTGCGCCATCATGTAATGGCTGCGTTCAAAAACCATTGCGCGCCTACTGAACGTGATGTTCAGTAGGCGCGCAATGGTTTTTAGTCATTTAACTCTATTGTAAATAAAACATGTAAAGTACTGAAAAAAAAATTCATAAAAAACGTTTTAATAACAAGCTTTTATGTAATAATGCACTAAAAAGTAGAAAATAAATTATAGACTACTATTTAAATAACTATAAAGAAAAGCGTGGGTGTCTTCCTTAACATTAGTAAAGGTATCCAATAGATACTAAAGTGACCCACGCTTTTCTTTATAGTTATTTAAATAGTAGTCTATAATTTATTTTCTACTTTTTAGTGCATTATTACATAAAAGCTTGTTATTAAAACGTTTTTTATGAATTTTTTAAAAAGTTTAAGTAATTAAAAATCATGTCTACATTCCAAGTTATATAAGAATATTCGAGAAAGTTTAGGGGAGATCACTCCCGGTTTATTATCTTGAAATATTCGGAACAGATTTTTTTTAAAATGTGTGTTTATTTACTTTTGATGCGCTTTTTTCTGTTTCTGATTAAAATGAATGTCACTGTGATAATTAGTAACGGGTTTTCAAGTTTATTAAAAAATAGTGTAAAAATAAATAATCAATTTTATTCGGCTCACACAACTACTAAACCATTACTGCATACAACACCAAAGGCCTACCCCAACTAGTGCGTGTAAAAAGTTAATCTGACGAAAGCTAAGCATTGACACTTATAAGTACACTAGGTAATTTGACATCAGTACACCTTTCTTAAGCACCCACCATATGACATGACAGGGAAATTTAATCTTAAACTAATTAATAATTACTGGTGTTGTTTTTTTTAAAGACCACACTCCATCACCTCGAACTGACATCAGAAGTTCGCCTAGACAAAGAAGCCATTGGAGAACTTTTCCAAAGGTGAGTTGGTTGTCCTGGTTGTGTTTCATGAGTGCTTAGGATGCGTGTCACTGTGTTCGTGTAAGTTTTTATAAATGCTCTAATGATGGGAATAATTTCATTTTGTTTCTGATCCCATTTCCTATTGGTAGTAGTAGACTACGTGACGTCATGACGCCATAGTGCGTGCTATAATTAGACCAACAACGTGGTTTCGGAGATAGACTTCCTCTTACTTTGTTGTAGAGTGTCCAGCGTTGATTTTTTTTTATGTTTTTAACTTACACCAACAACCCTAAAGCCATACATCGAATTGTTGACATATTTGGCTAGGTGTATATATATATATATATATATATATATATATATATATATATATATATATATATATATATATATATATATATATATATGCCTCTCACTCGCCTGTAATCTGTATATATATATATATATATATATATATATATATATATATATATATATATATATATATATATATATACAGATTACAGGCGAGTGAGAGGCTCAAGTCGTTTGCTCTAGACTTGCCCTGTGATTTAAAGACCGACCAACAAGAATACAAAAATGCCATATCAGAGGCCGTAGAGAACCACAGAGCAACATATGCGGTTACCTTAAACGGTCAGAAATTATCTGAAGCGAGGTAAACCGTCATTCGATTGCAGTCACAGTTTTGAGGTTTTAGGAGGCATTGACGCATTCAAAGAGACATCAGCATGTAAATAATAAATACGGATAGTAAAAATACCTTAAACAAAATAAATTAAATCGCTAAAATACATTTTGAAAATTCTGGTTTTTATTTTAAATTGTTTCCTTTCAATTTTTAACTTCAGTTTTTTCCAATGTTGAAATATTATTAATCAGGGTTTACCAGTTGCTGTTTTTTTTTTTAAATATTTTGTTTTAGTTCATTTCGTTGAAACCTTGTAATGATAGTTTTTTTCCGGTCACATTTTTCATCATTTACAAGTTTCTTTTAATGAATTCACTTAGTGAAGCATAGAACATACAACAATAGTTCTGTACAACCTTGTGTATTTACCAATATTTTTGTACAACATAGGCCATGCAACAATAGTTATTTGAAACCTTGCGTATATATCAATACTTTTGCGTAATATAAATTCGTTTTTTTAGAAAAATACAGGATGAATGTTCTTAGAATATGCTGCTTCATCATTTTTTTTATAAAGACTTTTGAAAATTCAGAAATACCACAAAGTGTTATTTCCGTTTATCGGAAATCCCCCAAAAATTGTAGGCATACAAATATGCTCTACTAATTATATATAAAATTTCTTCTGCGAAATTGGAACGGCACTAGAGTTTTCAATATTTTAGAAACCTAAAATATAGTAAGGTACTATTTTCGGTCATTTGAAATCGCTCAAAAGTCTTGATAGAATCCTATCAATAAGATCTACTTATTACAAATGAAATTTCGTCCTCAAAATTTTGACTCCCATTATTTTACAAGATTATAATACTTTCTCTATAATCTGTAAGCAAGAAAGTAAAAAAAAACGAAAATAAATGTAATACGTCGCAGATAGAGGTACAGTTAATGTTAAGAACAACATTGGCGCTTCTAAGATGTTTGACTAAATTATGCCTTTAGTGTTTTAGCCTCGAAGAAAAGTCGCAAAGTGATAAACGTCATAAAAACATGTGCAGAGCGTCACTTCCTAAATCTAACATGGTGGCTTTGAAATCAGCAAGAAAAACTGAAAAACCAATTTGAAGATAAAATTCTAGTAAATTGTGGGGGGAAATGGGCGAACGTGATATATTTATGGTAAGTGACCATATTTTAAAAATGTTTTTAAGACCATTATTATTATTATTAAGTCCATCGACGCTTCCTATGCACAAAACAACGCAGAATCAATCAAGATTGATATTTAAATTCGATGCCAGTAAAATGGTGGACTAGATCGATACGCCAGCTGGCACGAGAAGAACGCAATCATTAGTACTTTATTAGATACATAAAAGCTTGTCCTAAAAACTGTATTCATTCTTTTTTTTCTTTATTTAATCTTTGACTAGCCGTTTCGACTTCTACTTTAGTTTTAAAAATAGTTAAAGTTTTAAAAAATTAGATCTGTAATAGAAAATGCGCAATCAAATGTGCAATAGCATGGACATTTAAAACTTTATTTTAAGGCTGGTTGCATTTTTGCCTCATTATGAACATCTGTTATTGTTTCTTGCAATCCATATCTGTTATCAGTTTTAAAATACAAGATTAGATTTACTGTTTAATAAGGACCATTGTCATTTGTGTGCTATGCTGTTATCCGGTAATTATCTTGATTCTTGGTATTCCAAAACGTTTGCGTCAATGCGTCCCCCTTTGGAAACGGCATTTTTTTTTCATTTTATTAAAATTTAATAGTTAAGGCTAGGACGCAGGGTAAGATATTACTAGGGGTCAGATATGCAGGGCCAGTAAACACATGGTTGTAAACTCTTAATGTCCCAAGTTCAAACCCTCGGGCAGATGAGATTGATTAGCGGGGGAGAGATTATTGAAATCATAATTGAGTAGTGTCCCTTAGGTTTAGGCAATGAGATTACCAACTCTGGATTCAAATCGGCAGTTCCTGCGGCATTGTTGATGCCAGGTTGTATAGGTAACGTTCTGTCACTTGGAGCTGTGTGGGGTACATAGGCAACATCTGCCTTTTCTTATTTTGCTGCCCAGGTTTCGTGTTTAGATGTCCAAGTCGCAATTATCCAACTTTTTGTTTGTTGCTATGTGACGTGGAAAGCTTATGTACCCATTTTCCTATCCAGTCCACAGAAAGTGTTTGGCCCCAGCTGCCGTTTCAAGTCCTAATTGACATCTTTAAGAACCTCAGCAACAGGGACAAGTTTAACGCGGCCATGACGTGTAAGGCGTGGGTTCCACTCCTAGACGTACCTGCCTTGTTTACCACGGGACATTTCCTGTTCCAGTCGGATGACGTCAAGAGGGCGCTGTTGTTTGCAAGGGCACGAGGAAAATGGCTACGTCACGTCTACGCCGACTGTTTTAGTAACCCTTAATTATATATTAGAATAAATACACATTGCTGTGTCCTGATCTATAGATCCTATACAGCTGATAAAATTTCATAACCCTCATCATCATCATCATCTTCATCATCATCATCATCATCATCATCATCATCATCATCATCATCATCGTCATCATCATCATCATCATCATCGTCATCATCGTTATCATCATCATCATCATTATCATCATCATCATAGTCGTCATCATCATCCTCATCATCATCATCATCATCATTATTATTATTGTTATTATTATTATTATTATTATTATTATTATTATTTTCATCGTCGTCGTCATCGTCATCATTATTATCTTCATCACCATCATCATAATCGACATCATCATTATCACCATCATCACCATGATTATCTCATTATCTTATCATATTCATTTTCATCATCATCATCATAATCTACTACACATGGTGACAGATGAAGTAGAAATCATCTTTTTAAATTACCGGGCAGATGAGGCTCAACAGCCGGGAGAGCAACCCATCAAACAACTGCTGCCTTGTAGTTTGTTCTTGGATGGTCAAAACATGGCAGCAAATCCAAATTGGAAAGCAGACTGAAATTCGAGTCAACAGCCTATATATCGCATAACAATGTGTAACGTAATACTTAATTGTGTTGGATCAAATACCGCCCAACATTACAATTAAGAACGCAGAAGGAGGATAGTGTGATCATCACTGTGGCGAGCCGCCTTAGTTTCCCCAACGTGAGTCGGGTACCCTTTAGAGCTGGGTGGACTCAGAGACGTCCTACAAACGAGCGCTAGATCCGAACTCAAGATTTTCGTGTTAGCAATCGTAAGCGGGCGTGACCAAGCCGTAGAGCGCTAGACTACGAATCCAAAAGCCTGGAGGTTGAACCCGGGTTCTAGTCAGTAGAACACCCCTGAGTCCACCCAACTCACGTTAAGGGAAGTAAAAGCGGCTGGGCATAGTGCTGACGAAAATATCCCTTCATATGCTTAGGTCACAGAAACAGGTGAACTCTACTTCGTGGGCCGTCAAATACGAAAAGGGAACTTAACTATTTTTTTTTAGTCTTAAGATCATCTCCGTACAGTTTATAACTATTTTTCTCTTTAATCACAGAACTGCCGAATGACGACGATGTTCCATTTAAACCCGGTCCGTGCGAGCCGCCGGGCATCGAACTGATGTACCAGTTCATAGCCAGCCTACTCCACTGTAGGAACAACAAACTCAACACCATCTCGCTGAAGAACATTAAGTTTCTGAAGACCTTCTCGGATGATGGGAAAGAGAGACCCAAGTCGCACTTGTTAAGAATTATAACCACGCTGGTGGAAGCGCAACAACAGCTTCGGGAGCTGGATCTTACCAATGCCAGTCTAGAAATAGATAAGGGTTAGTAATTAGTATCAGTTTTCTTTCAAACTTTTTCTCGGGCGGGGGGGGGGGGGGGGGGGACAAAATTTTCCGGGAGAGGGGCGGACACTCTTATAAGTATATGATTTCTATAAAGCAATGCTATTCCATTCCGGTTGGGCGGTAGACATTGTGGGAGGGGGAAGGGGGTGGGTGGGGGTGGACACTGGTAAAAGGATATATTTATCAATTCTATTTCACTCCGGAGAGCGGTAGACGTTCTTTGAAGAGGTGGGGGGGGGGGCTCCTGAAAGAAACTATTATTGGTATCTTAACAAAAAACCACCTTAAGGATAGCCAGTGGTCAAGATTTTCGTGTCCCGTTGTAACAAAAAGTAGCAAAAAAAACAACGAATTTAGCTTAGTCGATTTAACCTTTCAGCCCCACAGTTTACTTAAAACTTTGCCGGTAAATTTAAATACGAAACTCGTACTTTTGCAGAAAACTAGACCAAGTTACGCCATATTTGTTTACACTTCTATATGATCTTGAGAAATAGAAAAAAACATATTATTATTTTTTGTTTTTTTTTCTTTTTAATTGTGTCTAGTTAGCGAAAGTAATAAAAATATTAAAATGCGTCCAATAGTTTGAAAAGTCTATTTTTAAAACACTGCCCATGACTTTTAAATATTAAAAGGACATCTCGAGAGATGTAAGGATGTAGACCATTTATGTGTAGGACCCAGGGGATTTTTGTATAGGACCCATGGCATTGCTAAATTTTTAGGACCAAGGGCAAAGCTCAATATGTAGGACCCAGGGCATTTCTCAGTATGTAGGATCAAGCACCGCCATTGAGTGTATTCAGAACAATTTTAACATTTCAACCCATATTCAGGTTCGAAGCTATTGCAAGCGGCCAGTCGTTCCTGTTCTAAAACTCTCCACAAGTTGGCTATTGACAGGTTTATTCAACTAAATCGACAGGATTTAACTGCCTTTAAGGCTGCTCTCTACAGCTTTGAAAATCTGTATGGTATGTTTTAATCATTCAGTTTCTCAACTTTTTGTACTTGGATTTATGAACTGTTTCCCCCAGGAATTGTTCGGGTTTGTCCTGTGAAGTGTCTAACACTTGTGCAATTTTAATGGTGAAATTTTAATAAGATAGTTTTATTTTATTTGATATTTACTTTTTATCTAACTATGGGGGGGGGGGGGGAGGCTTAATAAACTACTAAATGACAACTGCCATTTTTTTAAAATAGTGTGTTGATAACTTTATTAAATTGCGTGTGTTCAAACCTCACTGCCGATAGATAAACACATTTTACAGTTCCTTAGTTAATGCCTGCTTGGTGGGAAAGTAAATTATTTCTGGAAACGCAGGATCATTTTTTAACATAAAAATAAAACGAAATTTCTTTGTCATCTTATCCTTAAGAGCGATAGCATTCTTGGTTGGTTTACTTGCATGTTAATGAGCGTGTGTTACGGATATTACTATTTATTTTAATTGCTTTTTAAGAAAGTATTTAGTACAAATTCTAAACAAAGGTGCTTTATCAAAATGTCTTAAAATGAACACTACAAAAAGGGTTTCATCCCTTTAATTACATCGATAGTGTGATCTAGCCGGTCGCTTTTCTGCCCTAAATGCAATCGTATCTGCCTGTGCTAGTCAGAGGCGTAGCGAGGGAGGGCGGGGGGTGCGGACCGTACCGGGTGACACCATTTAGGGGGGCGACGCCAGGGCAAACAATTGCAAAATGTGCAGAAAAAATTGCCTTTTCCCACTTCCATTAATGATTAATTAAAGATAAATAGTCTTTAAAGTACAAATCGTACATTATTACAAGAGGGTGGGGGTGATACCATGACGTAAAAGTGCTAACTATAGAGAAAACAATGCTACACCCAACTGTATTATTAACAGATAACAGTTAAACATCGTATATGGCATATGTTTAGATTATAGGCCGACACACACATACAGATTTTATATATATATGTATATATATATATATATATATATATATATATATATATATATATATATATATATATATATATATATATATATATATATATATATATATATACTTTGTTTCTGGGGAGTGAGGGGGGTGACACCACGAAGTGCCGCACCGGGTGACACCCAACCTAGCGACGCCACTGGTTCTAGTGTTGTAGTTGATTATAACCTAAAGCCTATGTCTTTAGCAAAACTTATGTATGTTGTGCCTGGAGTTGGTGATCTGTTTTGAGCAGTTAGTAAAACGAAAATTTAGTTTTTTTGCAGTTTCAGATGTAGCTAACCTGGGGCAAGGGGGCGGAGGGGGGTGAGAGTTAACCCTTAACTGATGCCCAAAATGGTCCCATGAACCTTGCTTGGATGCACCCAGTTTAACTAACCTAAGTAACATTTACTGATGCATAAAATAAACATTTTGTCTTTGAAGACACATGCGGTGCTGCTACCAAACCCCCCCCTCTCTCTCTCTCTCTCTCTCTCTCTCTCTCTCTCTCTCTCTCTCTCTCTCTCTCTCTCTCTTATGCCCCAGAGCAGGGGTTCTTTTCTCCCGGGGGGTACTTGAAACTTCCTGAGTGGGCGTGGGTAGGGGGGGGGGTAAACGTTGGTTAAAAAATTCTTCTATTTCGTTCAGGACAAGGGGGGGGGTTGGTTGTGCTTGGTATCTCTCCCCATCAGAGAGATACCGCCAATAAACACTAGCCCCTTAATCGATACGGCTATTTGATAGAGCGAACCTTAACATACAGACTTGTGACTTTCAGAGCTAGAGGTCGGCTATGATTTTTTGAGTGACACGTTCTTGAAGGATCTGGCGGGGACATCAAGGTGCAGCTTACGACTGCAGGTGCTGACTGTTCGGGCCACCTACAAGGCTGACGTCGGTACCAGCACTAGCCGGGAGGCTTGGCAGAAGCTCACGGCATCCCTCCCTGAGCTCAAAGTGGTTTTCTTTATAAAGCCGAAAAGTCGTTCAGAGGTAAAAGAATAATCAGAGATACCTCTTTACTATTAACATAATATAAAAATAACGTACGACTATAGGATAAATCTCGCTATGGAAGGACGCTGGCAATAGAGCCGTGCAGGACTTTGGGTAGAACCCCCCCCCCCCCCCGAAGGTCTAAAGTCTAAATGATAGGAAGAACCAGAGGCGTAGCGAGGCGTAGCGAGGGGGTGACACCATTTAGGGGGGTGACACCAAGACAAAAATTAGTAAAAATATAGAGAGAAAAATTTGAGAGGGGGGGTGCAAATCGAAAGTTTGAGGGGGGGGGGGGGTGTAAATCGAAAATTGAAAGTTTGTCCCCGGGAAGAGTCGCTACGCCTCTGGGGGGTGACACCATTAAGTGCCGCACCGGGTGACACCCGACCTCGCTACGCCACTGGCAAGAACATTGGGTACAGCTCAAAAGAGTGGAAGGAGACCGCAGGGAGGGGAAAGCTTTGACAAAGACAAAATACTCCGCGAAGAATGAAAATAAAAAATGATGATGATATTAATAGGATAGATCTACTTTATAAGGTCTAGTAAAATACACTATACTATCTATATCGGGGGAAAAAAGTCAGCGTGCGGTCATCGTCGAGTATCTGGAGGAACATAAAAAAACGGTCTTCCCTTCGGGAAAACCTCGAATAACTTACATCTTGTGTAGTTGAAAAATATTTCAAAGTGTAAAAATCGAGTTCATTTCAAGACCAATGACCTATCATGTTAGACTCTATTTTTTCCAGGAGTCCTATTACGACATAGCACCGCAAGTTATTCTCGTCCCCTCAATGCCCCTGTACGGGCTACATTGGGCCACAGGCAGCTTTATTTCTGTTGAGAACATTATCTTATGTTTCCAATACATCGCCACTAACTTTAAGGTTAGTCTTTTCAGCGGTAATAGGCATCACAATAGCTGTGTAAATTTAACATGCATTTTTTTTTAAATTTAAATTGGGTCTCCGTGTATTGTTAGCCATGCCGAATATTTTTTACTTTGATAATACATAAATTCTCAGGACGGATTTATTTACATTTTATTAGCTTTTATCACACAAAGATTAACAATTCGACGATAAACAGTTAAAAAAATTGTTTTTCTAGTTAGATTAATTTTACTGTCATAATTAAAGTACTGACATCAACACTGACACAATGGCATGACATGACATGACAGTACACTTAAATTTAACCTTGACTCGGCAGCTGTACACAACTGTACACCTGACTATAGCACTGACTCTACGGTTCGGCAATGGATAACACCTGTATTAAACCACTGACTTTAGTACTGACACTACGGTTCGCCACTGGATTACACCTGTTCTAAAACACTGACAATGTGTCTAGACTCGCCTGTACACCTATACACATGTAATTAAATTAACTTCCGATCGGTGTTTGCCTTGTATTATAGAGCTCTCTACACCATCTCGACTTGACATCAGAAGTTCGCCTAGACAACGAAGCCATCGGGGAACTTTTCCAGAGGTGAGTTCACTGTCCTGGTTGTGTGTCGTGAGCATGTTGGGTGCCTGTCGTCCTGTGTTTCTTTCAGGTTTATTCTCCCTAAGGGGGTGGGGGGTGGGCGTTGTGGGAAAAATTAAGAGTATATTTTCTAGAAAAATCCTATTTCGTTGTTGTTGTTTTTTTTTGGGGGGGGGGGGGAGGGGCGGTAGTCGTGCTTCGGGAGGCAATGCCGCCAACAGTCTCCCCCCCCCCCCCCCCGTGCCATGTTGGCCACTTGTTTTGTCGCTCTGATCATAGAAAACAATGTGACGTCACGGATCATTATGCTATAATTAGACAAACAGCATGGTTCGGCAATCAAGATTAGATTTTATCTTCGATTCGTTTCGGTACACAGTTTAAACATTCTAAATTTTAAAAAGCTGATATTTTTCATCAAAATAAGAATACAGGAAATTAAAGGACGTTTTTATGTTACTTTGCTTTTTATCAGAAGTCTCATATCATCCGCATTAGAATAACGTTGGAAAATTAGGTATGATGTGTTGATGAATTTTAGATGTTTAAATTGTCTTTCACAGCCTTCAAGTGTGTAAGAGGCTCAAGACTTTTGTTCTAGGTTTGCCGTGCGATTTAAAAACCGATGAACGGGACTACCAACAGGCCATTTCAAAGGCTATGCGCCAACATGAAGCGACGTATGCCGTTACTCTTAACGGTCAGAAAGTTCTGGAAGTGTGTTAAATGTTATAGGTGGTTGGTTGGTGGAGCGTGGGATATTTGGCTGTTATGGATGGTCAACGTTGGATGAAATCAAAATATGTTATTGATAACTACACCGACAAATACTATGTTGGTGTAAGTGCACTCAGATGCGTCGAAGGGAGGGTGTGTGGAAATGGTCAGGTTAACTTCATTTAGGAAATGACACTAAAAAAATGTATTGTTTAAACTTTCACTACATATTTTCTTTGAAATTATTGTTATATATCTGGATAAATAAAATTTTCAGTTACCTTTTTTTTAAAAATTTATAAATAGAATGAAAGCTTGACTTAGAGCAAAGTTATGTATATTTGTAAAATGAATTGTTGCAACGCTTATCAAAATGTTTACAGCTTATTGCAAGATTTTGGATAATGTGTATGTTCTAGGCATGGATTAACTGTACATTTCTTTTTGTTCAAATTAAACAAATTAAAATAATATATTAGAATTTAATTTTCAAGTATTTGTTTAATTCTTCAAAACATATATTTTGGTTGGTGTTGATGGTGAATAATTTAACATTTATAATCCATTTCAATAATGACCATGTGTCGTCTGTTTAAATGTAACAGGTGTATCAACATCTCTTTGGGCGACGTACTTGCCTGCATATCACCCCCCCCCCTCCACCTCCGATTACGGCGTTTCTTGATAGTCCCCACTCAAGATCCTTACAACGCTACTTGTGTATCTTGTCAAGTTTAGCTCTAAGATGATAAGATGAAACTAACAAACGTTTGATTCCTATGGAAAGGTGTTCACAAATGTGGCTTTTTAAACATGATGCTATCATAGTTTTTCCACCCTTCTTGGCTTGGCGCCCAGCGCGGCCTCCCCACCTGGCACACCCTACAGCTCCGCCCTGGTCGATTGTTTACATTTTGAGACGCCAGCACTTTAACAGCCATGGGACAACCTGACAATGTTGTACTGAACAAGATGTGTTTGCTGGATGACTTAATATAAGGAGCGAAGTGCGCATTTACCAAGGGACATACCCGCCACGATGACGTATAGTAGCTTTAGTGCTCGGCTGTGTAAATAAACTCAGAGTTCTTTTTACCTGGTTATGTGAAGGCTTATGGATCACTTGATCAAATTTCCTGAGGTTTTGAACTACGCAGAAACAAAACAATTATTTGAACACTTTGTTCCAGTACACCCTTTAGGGGGGGGGGGGGGGTCAGTATGTAGCCTGTTATGACCACGGTGACCAAGGCCATGTTTTCAGTTGCACTCGACAAAAGTTCATCGGCGGACCTAAGGATATGAATGGAAGGGAGAAAGGGATTAGCAGAATCGAGTAGTTGGCGCTCCCATACTCAATATTTCATTACACGAGCAATAGCTTATTTTATTTGTATAAGAACGGGTCTTGTGAGGGTTTGGTATAATGAACTGTCCTTCTTGGTTTAATGTTAGTGTAATTCAGAGTACCTCCAACACTGTTAAATATTACTTGTCTACCTATTATGCGTCGTAAAGGCCGTTAACTCCAATTTCAGCCTGCTTTTCTTTTTGGATTTGCTATGTCCAAAAACTAACTACAAGGCAGAATTTGTTTTTGAAGCTGTCTCTCTTAGAGTTGCTGTCCCCAGTTAACGAGCCTCATCTACCCGGGGGCTCGAACTCGGGACCTTTTCGGTTCAGCAATTATGAGCTAAACCGACCCGACTACGCCAATCTCATTAATGATCCAAAATACACGTTTTTCCGAACTAGAAACTCATTGAAAATCAACTGGACATATTGCCGTCATCTTGGTTTAACCCTCTAGGTACGGGACTATCATAGGTCTCAATAGCCAAAAACCTGATGTGTAGCTCATGATGTAGTTGGGTGGGGAGTGTCTTTAAAACTTGGATTTCACTCACAGCCTCAATGTTTCATTAGGCTTAGTTTTATCTTATGTCCAAGCCTCTGGTAATACAAGTTCCGACCTCTGTAATAGTCCTAGCTTTTTTTTAAAGTCCTGTTTTAAGTTTTCTTTTTGACATAGGGTTTTATTGCTTCACCGAATGTAAACATAATAAGGTTGTATAAAAGACACCATTTTAAGCAGGACGGAATACCACTCCACGCGACACAGGGCGTAGCGACGCGGGAGGGGGAGCGGGTAGGTACATATGTCCCTGGGCGCCGACACTAGGGGTGCCAAAATGGGTTGGAAAAAAATTAAAGGCTCATTTTAGCTGCAGTTTTGAATTATAATTATAAAAAATATCTGGGGTGGGGGCGCCAAATTGAAAGTTTGGCCCCGGGAGGGGTCGCTACGCTTCTGAGGGTTATCTCACCTATTGAGCATCAGGTGAAACGTGTACAATCTACGGCCAGTTGACTCTACAAAAAATAGAGCATTGATGCCCTTCTTTTTTCTTCATATTAATAATATAGAAGTATCAATGGGACATGATGGAAGAGGTGAGTGGGGGTGGGGGAGGGCAGTGTTTCTTTCAGACTTTTTTCTCCGGTGGGGGGAGGGGGGGGGGGGGGGAGGCACTTGATATTGGAGGGCGGGGGGCTGACTAAATTTTCCGGGGGTCGGACACTGGTCAAAGTATATATTTTCTATATAAATTCCATTTCGTAAGGGGGGGGGGGCAGTAGACTTAAGCAACGATTCTTGTGGGATGAAGGTAATTTTTAAAACGGTTTCTTACGGGGTGTTTTTTGTGTCTTAAATAGAAAGCAGATGAAAAGCACTTGTTCAATACGATTCTGGATAAAAAATAACTCAAAAGACAAGTAAATTCTCGGGAAAATTATAAATCTCCGGGATTAGTTGTCATTGAAATACGTTCAGTTTGTTTAAACCTGTTCACATCAGAGTCTGTGTGGTTTTTCTTTGCTTGGGGGTGGGACTAAGCCGCATCTCAACCGTTTCAATGAGAACTTACTTCTTCACTGAAAGGGAATAGGTGCCCTTCCCCTCCCACCTCACCCACCCCACAAGCACACTTAACTTAATGGTATGGTTGATTGAACTTTGAAATGAAACAAGGGCAACAACTAAGCTTATAAAGAAAATTCAGAACAATTTTAATTCAGAAACATGATTTTACAACGATATGAATTCTTAAAGATTCGAATTCAGGATTATGTGAATTCAGAAATACGTAGATTCGTATCAACTTTTGAGCGATTTCCGATAAACGGAAGTTGAAATTTTTCTACTTTGAATTTTTCAAAATCCTATAACTTGAGTACTATTTTAGATAGATAAATGAAATTTCACATGTTAGTTAAAGATCTAATTCTCTACCCTCCGTCAAATTTTGAGTAATTTCCGTTGACCGGAAGTAGTAATCTTCGCTCTTTCCGATTTCTCAAAAAACGCATGTGAATTTATAAAGTACTAATAATATTCCGCACTATTATGAACATTTTATTTGGCGTTCACTTGGTGTGCAAATCTTTTTTCTACGAGATTTTATTCTATTTTAAAAAGTTTAAGTATTTAAAATGGATTAAAAATCATGTCTATATCCCGAGTTGCCATCCCCTGTTGAATCATATAAGAATATTCGAGAAAGTTTAGGGGAGATCACTCCCGGTTTATTTCTCCAGGCATAGCTCGTCACACACAACATGACAGTTACACACACATACAGTGTGTCTGTGAGAGAAAGAGAGAGAGAGAAAGAGAGAGAGGGTGGGGTATCTACACACATACCTAAACACATCTCCACACTGTCCCACACACAGGACCCACACACAACCCCACACATTCCCACAGATAACTATGCACTCATAGTGACTCTGGCCCACACACATTCCAGTATGGATCTACACACAGATTCACACATACATATCCCCTGATGCGACGAAGTGTGACAATGGAAGGTTTGGGCAAGAGGCTTAAAATACAGCGCTAGACACTTGATGTGTTATTTAGATGATTCCTTAATGGAGAAATCGTATTGATAGTTTGTGGTGTGGATCACAAGTGTTTAAAAAAAACAGGAAGTAGAAAGTTTTAAAACATCACCTCCCTCCAGCCAACCTTCAATCCCCATTCCCCCAACCTCCATAATGTAAACAAAAATGTGCGTCCTCATTTTCCTAAAAACAAATGTATCATCTATACAGGAACCTGGCGGTGTACACTTTCTCAACAATTCAACAACAAAAAAACTCATCAGAAGCCCAAAAATGTGTATTGCATTTATGGTGCTGTAATGGTGCAGTAGTGCTGTTGTGGTGCTGTTATGTTGTTATGGTGATGTTATGGTGCTGTTATGTTGTTATGGTGCTGTTATGGTGCTGTTATGGTGCTGTTATGTTGTTATGGTGATGTTATGGTGCTGTTATGTTGTTATGGTGCTGTTATGGTGCAGTAGTGCTGTTATGGTGCTGTTATTGTGTTGTAGTGTTGTTATGGTGCTGTTATGGTGCTGTTATGGTGCTGTTATGTTGCTATGGTGCTGTTATGTAGTTATGGTGCTGTTATTGTGTTGTAGTGTTGTTATGGTGTTGTTATGGTGCTGTAATGCTGTTATGGTGCTGTAATGCTGTTATGGTGCTGTAATGCTGATATGGTGCTGTTATGTTGTTATGGTGTTGTTATGGTACTATAATGCTGTTCTACAACCAGACTGGCAGTCTATTTGCCTCACATTAATACATTCAAAACACAATGTTTCCACGTACTGTCGACTTCCTTATATCCCCGTATAAATATTGACACAGAAAAAGTACAGTCCCGTAAAGTGCGTACTACGCTATACACCCAAATACAAGTATTATTCGGTCAAATCCGGTAAATATAGTGTAGGTTAAAAATACCTTGACACAAAATCTGCTCTCCAAAGGGTTCTAAAATTTTATAAGATTGGTATGGAAATAAAGAGTCATTTTGATTGTACCCTTCATTAGAATGACTTTTGATGAGGTGGAGATGCATTTTGTGAGTGCATTTTGTTGATAAAACATTCTTAAGTGTCGTTATGACGCCTCAGGCTCCAAGTTTTAAAGGAGACGTATGCTATTAATACAACAATGAAGCCTTCTACGTTCAGATATAATATCTATCTAGTGACGCAGTTAATTCGTTGCGTTGCCACGCTGTATGTCCAAATGTTCATGTTTTCAAAGATTCATATTGCTGTTGGTAATGAGTGGTATCATTGGAGGCCAACCACTTTTTCTATGCTCTTTTTCTTTTTCTCTCTGTTTCTCAGTGATGTTTGACATTGTTTTAGGGGGTCCATTCCCCAACCCCCCCCCCCCCCCCCAATATGACGACAGCTAGCCTGTGACTTCTATTTACAAAATATCGCAAAACCATAATTTTACTAATCAGACGTAATAAACAACGTTAAAGAATATCTTATATATGCGTGTGTGTGCGTGCGTGCGTGCGTGTGTATAAGTATTTTGGAAAAAAAACATGACGAAAATCCTACCTACGCCACTGCTGTCTATCCTTGACAAAAATAATGCCTACGCCACTGCTAGCTGTCCATGTTGTGTTGTGAGAGTTCCTGATTTTCCTAGAAACTTTCAAATCTTAGAAACGTATAAATAAAACGTCGTGACCACGTATAGCAGACATGCGCAACAGCTATATCAGTCTTTATAAACCATATGAACTTAAAAAAGACAGCCAATCCGCTGTAAGGTTGCACTACACTGGTCTAGACAGGGAGTTGGGATTATTTCTATGGGGGAAATAAGTGTTCGATCTCTTGATCTAACAGACCAAAGATCAAACTCAGATTGACTAGTTTACGTAAAATGGATAATCTGGCTATGGAGAGTGACGAAACTCGTGTTCAGCCCGTAAGATTGTTTTAATTTTATTAGTGAGGGTTTAAACTGAAGTATTACAAATGCGTCTGCTTAAGCCTTATTGGACAGTAGTTAGCATCAAAAGCAACTCAAAATTAATGTATATGACAAGCATGGTTTATTTATGTTTTAAAATTACGGTACTTTACTGTTAGGTTCCAGTATTGCCAAAAATGTTTAATTATACAACCAATAATATATATATATATATATATATATATATATATATATATATATATATATATATATATATATATATATATATATATATATATATATATATATATATGTGTGTGTGTGTATGTGTGTGTGTGTAGTCTAAAATCGTTGTCATAGTTCATAGTTATCGTAAACAAGTGAAAATTCAACGTAAGACACGTTTTAATTTTTAAAATATAAATGAATACTTTTTTTACACGGTAGTATCATACATACTAACAATTTTAATTTAGTTTGTCTTTACTAAAAAAAATGTTTACATCGACAAGTTTTTAAAATATAACCAACAATATACGTTCTAATATGTTTTGTAGCAGAATGTAGATCTTGAATCTTCATCATCACCTGCCTATTCTAAGGGAGACAATGTAAACGTTGAAGAAGGTCCCCCACATAATTTTACTCTAGGTATTTATTATTATGTTCTACATTTACACTGTATCACGTGTGTGGTATTTTGAATAAGTAAGCTGGCCCCTATACACTATGCAATGACCGGAGGCACTTGAATTTTATCCCCATATAATAGAGTAAAATATTACTGTTGGTAATAAGAGATTAAATAGCTTTATACAACAAAACATCAGTTTGTTGAATCCACATTTTTATCCCCATATACAGTGTTTCTTCCAGACTTTTTTCTCCGGGGGGGGGGCACTTGAAATCTTCAGGGGGGCGGTAAACTTTCTTCGGGGGGGCGGACACTTGTTAAAAGTATATATTTTCTATATAAATGATACAAATTTCATTTCGTTCGGGGGGGGGGGGGGGCGGTAAAAAGAGATGCCTGGAAGAAACTCTGCCCATATAATAGAGTAAAATATTACTGTTGGTAATAAAAGATTAAATAGCTTTATACAACAAAACATCAGTTTGTTAAATCCACAAATTTTCCCTTACAGATGCACCACCATCTTATGAATCCCTCTACGGAAGGGTCAAGGCTGCCAAACAAGAATCAACCAATGTGTGTATTTTCGTAATTCAATTCTTGGCGATCATCTTTTCGACAAGTAGGGGTTGTATTTTTTTTTACTTTTTTTTTCTCGTATGTTAAAGGTATATGGAATAATGCAATCGTAAACTAAACCCACGAACATTAAATAGTTGACATTTTAAATATTGAAATAATCTTTTCACAGTTGGTTGCGCAATTATCGTTGGAATTTTAATGGCGATCCCTATTTCCATGATTGTTATTGGTAAGTGATTATTTTAAAATCATGTTTTAACAAATTTAGTTCTCGATAACTTACGTTAATCTAATGTGCATTTTGTAAGTTGTAATTTATTTGACTAAGAAAGTAAATTATAAAAATGTACTTCGTCCTATATCAATAAAGTAGATATTTTTTTAAATATTTTAAAATTGAATGATTATTTTATCATATTTAAACAGTGTTTTATAATACTCTCAGGTGCGCTATATCTGGATGATTGTCCAGTTCAGCGCATGATCCCTATCTACCTAATTGTGGCAGGATGTTTTGGTTGTGCCAAGAGCTTGTTTAGCTTGGTCCAAAGATGTTGTAAATCAAACGAGGAGGGGGAAGAGAGTAGTAAATTAACCAAATCTTTCGAAGGAGTCGTCAGCTGTTTCATGATTGCTTGGTTCATTACAGGTGGGTCGGGTGCAAACATAACTATATTTTTAATGTTTATCGTCGTCAGACATGCTTGACTGCTTACCAATAGGCTCCTTTCAGATGTTTTTTTCCATTAGAATAATATCCCCCTAAGGAATGTAGTATGTAGTCAGGTTAAGAGTTTCTTTTAGATATTTTTTTTCGGTGGGAGGTGAGGGGAGGGGGGGGACTTTTGGTGGATGGGGGAGCGCTGGTTATAGCATTTAATTTCTTTATAAATTATATTTTTCTCTTTTTGTCTGTGTGCCCCCCCCCCTTCCCTCACCTATTCCCACGAAATGCCTATCAACAACTCTGTTCGGAATCAATAGACGACGAGGTGCATGACCTGATATGATGCAATACTTAGTTACGTTATAGGAAATACGATGATGTTCGATTCAGTTAAGTTGTTAGGGGTTTAATCGAAGGAAATACGATAATGTTCGATTCAGTTAAGTTGTTAGGGATTTTATCGAAGGAAATACGGTGATTTCGATTCAGTTAAGTTTTTAGGAATTTTATCGAAGGAAATACGATAATGTTCGATTCAGTTAAGTTTTTAGGAATTTTATCGAAGGAAATACGGTAATGTTCGATTCAGTTAAGTTGTTAGGAATTTTATCGAAGTAAATACGGTGATGTTCGATTCAGTTAAGTTGTTAGGGGTTTAATCGAAGGAAATACGATGATGTTCGATTCAGTTAAGTTGTTAGGGGTTTAATCGAAGGAAATACGATGATGTTCGATTCAGTTAAGTTGTTAGGGGTTTAATCGAAGAAAATACGATGATGTTCGATTCAGTTAAGTTGTTAGGGGTTTAATCGAAGGAAATACGATGATGTTCGATTCAGTTAAGTTGTTAGGGGTTTAATCGAAGGAAATACGATGATGTTCGATTCAGTTAAGTTGTTAGGGATTTTATCGAAGGAAATACGGTGATTTCGATTCAGTTAAGTTGTTAGGGGTTTAATCGAAGGAAATACGATGATGTTCGATTCAGTTAAGTTGTTAGGGATTTTATCGAAGGAAATACGGTGATTTCGATTCAGTTAAGTTTTTAGGAATTTTATCGAAGGAAATACGATAATGTTCGATTCAGTTAAGTTTTTAGGAATTTTATCGAAGGAAATACGGTAATGTTCGATTCAGTTAAGTTGTTAGGAATTTTATCGAAGTAAATACGGTGATGTTCGATTCAGTTAAGTTGTTAGGGGTTTAATCGAAGGAAATACGATGATGTTCGATTCAGTTAAGTTGTTAGGGGTTTAATCGAAGGAAATACGATGATGTTCGATTCAGTTAAGTTGTTAGGGGTTTAATCGAAGAAAATACGATGATGTTCGATTCAGTTAAGTTGTTAGGGGTTTAATCGAAGGAAATACGATGATGTTCGATTCAGTTAAGTTGTTAGGGGTTTAATCGAAGGAAATACGATGATGTTCGATTCAGTTAAGTTGTTAGGGATTTTATCGAAGGAAATACGGTGATTTCGATTCAGTTAAGTTTTTAGGAATTTTATCGAAGGAAATACGATAATGTTCGATTCAGTTAAGTTTTTAGGAATTTTATCGAAGGAAATACGATAATGTTCGATTCAGTTAAGTTTTTAGGAATTTTATCGAAGGAAATACGGTAATGTTCGATTCAGTTAAGTTGTTAGGAATTTTATCGAAGTAAATACGGTGATGTTCGATTCAGTTAAGTTGTTAGGGGTTTAATCGAAGGAAATACGATGATGTTCGATTCAGTTAAGTTGTTAGGGGTTTAATCGAAGAAAATACGATGATGTTCGATTCAGTTAAGTTGTTAGGGGTTTAATCGAAGGAAATACGATGATGTTCGATTCAGTTAAGTTGTTAGGGGTTTAATCGAAGGAAATACGATGATGTTCGATTCAGTTAAGTTGTTAGGGATTTCATCGAAGGAAATACGGTGATTTCGATTCAGTTAAGTTTTTAGGAATTTTATCGAAGGAAATACGATAATGTTCGATTCAGTTAAGTTTTTAGGAATTTCATCGAAGGAAATACGGTAATGTTCGACTCAATTAAGTTGTTAGGGATTTTATCGAATGATAAAGAACAAAACATTTTGAGTTATCTGTAGCAGTGACTTCATTTGGTTGAGGCAGGGAATGAAAATGGTTCGAGTGTATTTTATAGATGTAGAGTTTACTCTAGGCAAAAACGTAAACATACGCCAATCTCTAATTAGATAGAATGTATTATAATGTGTTATTACAGACTTTATTTTAAATTTCTTTTTTTTCAGGATGTGTTTACATCTACCGTATTTATGACGAAGTGAGCTACGACCCTTTAAACGCTGATCACTACTGTCATAAGACTTTGTATTTGTTTGCCTTTTGGGTGACGAATGCTGCTTACATGATCGCGGGACTCTCCTGCTGTTGTGTGGTTTGTGTGGTGTGTGTGTCAGCTATGTTAGGATGAATGGGTTGCACATTTCCCTCGTTTTTTTTTTTGTTTTTTTTTGGGGGGGGGGGGGGGTCGAAACAAAACCTAAAAAATTGAATAACTAAAAAAATTGATATTTTCAGGACATAATTTATACTCAAAATTTTTAACTCGACTTTCATCAGAAATTGAACATTTATTAAATTTTAAAAAATATTTAAGATGCATAATGTATTGAGAAAAAATGTTTACTAAAATATTTTATTTTAAAATTGTATAAACCTAAACTGATAAAATTTACAACTTGTTGGGCGTATCTTTACTTTTCCCTCCTTCATGTTTGAGTAAATTGCTGTGTGGGGGAGGGGGGGGGATGGGACTCGGACTATTTGAAAATTTAATTACTACAAAAACTTAACAGATGCAAAGTCTGGTCCGTTCATTTTTAAATTTTTAGGTTCATTTTAAATAGTTTCAATCAAGATTATATAAAATTTTATAAGTAAAGTTTTAAAAAAAATATTTGACACTTTAAAATTCAGCAAACTGTGGTTTCAGAAGTCATACTAATTAATTAATTAATAAGGTATTTTTTAAAGTTTATTTTAATATATAATATGCATATTGTTTCATTTATTCATGTGCTTATTTAATTCACATAAAAGTTTTTATTTTTATATCTCTGTTGCTGTTATTTTATATTTATATTTTTCGACCCGACATGTAATTTACAGCGTCGGTTTGCCTTGCTTGTTCGTTTTAGTATTTAAGTTTTCATCATCGGCTTGTGAGGACTGATACAGATTTACAATAGTAATACTTTTTTCTTACATGTAGCCTACTTTCATTCATTTAAGATGGTTTACTTATACATAGTTCTAATACAAAACGTCTAATTACAATTTTATTTTTTTAAAAAACCTAAAATGCAAATGTGAAATCAAATGATGGTTCAAGGTATTGACCTTCATAGCTTTTTTCTCAGTTTGTATGGAAACCATTTATCATTTTAAGTATATTAAACAAGAATTTTTTTTAAATTAAGTTTTTTAAAGCATTTATTGTTTTCCATGTTAACTGCGTTTTAAAATAATAATTTATCAAATGATATAGTTTTGTTCACTGTGTTGTTTTCTAATGCATTGAATTACACCAATTAAAATTCATAAATCTTCTCCAACGTTTCAGCTTTGTTCATATTACTAAATAAAGTGTAAGTGATCTTCACTAAACTTTCTCGTATATATATATATATATATATATATATATATATATATATATATATATATATATATATATATATATATATATATATATATATATATATAAAATATATATACATATAATTCCCTTCATGGGGGGACCATGCAGGAAACCACTTCCTCTCGAGGCATATATCTACCACCCCATCTCACCAGGCCGGCGAGCTGTGTTTTACGCCATGAGCTTACAATCGTAGAGCCGGGTCGAATTAGTGACAGTTATAGGGCTGTCAAGTAGGTCACCAACCAGTTCTACGGCTCAATAAATCCTGCATAAGCCATAGAACTGGTTGGTGACCTTCTTGCCAGCCCTATTAGGGGCAGATAATTTAGTTTTTAAACGGTTTGAAACTAAGGGGAGGTAATATCAAGTTCTGCTTGATCTTTTCATTGCCGTCTGTAAACTGTCGTCACGGACAACTGCTTTCACGAGGGTTGGGGGGTGGGGGAGGGAGGGGGAGCTACAGATATAATATAAAATATTTTCAGTTGGAGCATGTAGTGTCTATTTCACAAATTATGAATTACTGAAAAGTAGAAAATAAAACAACTAAATAGCGGCGTATGCTTACGGAGCGGGTCAGCTTGTATTCTTATACAACAGTAAGGGGGATGTAAATTTGACGTTTTATAACCTTCCAAAACTGGAAAAACTAAGTTTTTCAATTCTGTCTGTCTATGCGTGTGTCTCTAAACACGGAAACTTGAGTACTATTATAGTCATGTTACACACATTTCATATATAAATATTGTATCAAATATGTCGTTTTCTATCCATTTTAGAGCGATTTCCGGTAACCAGAAGTGAAATGTACTCTGACTTAGGTCTCTCAAAAGCTGATAACTTGATTACCATTAAAGCTAGGTAGACACATTTTCAAACATAAGTATTAGA